ACCTGATCCTATAAAGATTCTAGTGATATAAAGGTCTAAGTTTATCACTGTTTATGAGTTCTTGGACTGGAGCAGATTTGAGGGCAAAGACCATGCCACAGTGCTAAATCCTGTGTCTTCTCTTGGTCATCAGAGTGCACTGATCTGCCATATGTGGAGTTCTGTATCCACTAGCCTACTTGGGTGTGGAAAAGAGCTCACCTACTCTAAGGTAGAAAAGGACAACACCCAATTCTAGCAGCAACCAGATTCTAAAACTGAAATGCGAATAAACAGTATTGCTTAAGGCATAGTTGTTGAGATCAAGATCATGGAATCCTCTGAAGTTAGTTTGAAGACAACAGACCTGTTTTAGCACCTGCATCCCAGGGAAGGAACAATATTTTTGTTCCTGTGGTCTTATGTAAATGTTCGGGCTTTTTTTTGCTGTGTGGTGTATTGTGGCAGGAAATGCTACGTCTTTTGCATCCAGGTGTTAGGGGGAATCTGATAAAGCTTTGTAGTAGTACTTAGGTAGTCGTACTTACCTATGGTTTAGTAAAGAAGTAACAGAACTAAAATTCATCTGCTTCTGTTTCCCTCCAGTCAGGTAGCACAGCACTTCACTATGCTTGTAAAATGAACAACCAGGCAGTCATTCCTCTACTGCTTCAAGCTCATGCAGACACTTCTTTAAAGAATCAGGTAAGAAGGTGAAATTGATAACTATTTCCTTATCATGATGGTGAACCAGTACCTTGTAGGCCTTAGCTGGTGTACAGCAGTTTAAAAAAAAGAGTGCATAGCTTCCTGGCAGCAGACTCATCTGCTGCGGGGTTTAAAGCAATGTTTGCTCCATTGCCTTTGCTGGCAAGAGCAATGTCCAAATCCTCCACTGCTGGATTTCCACCAGTAAACATTGCATGAATGTCTACTGGATCTTCACAGTACCTCTTCTTAACTCGGAACTGCTCTACAGTTGTTCTTAAGATGCAGGCTGCAGGGTAGTGGCAAGAGCCTTCTGAGGTGCTTTTTGTGCCATTGGACACCATTCTTCTGACAGGGGCTAAGTCAAGCTGCTTCTGTCACCAGAAAAGCTCAAATGCTGTCCAGATAAATACTGACCTGGAAGTATCTGCATTACTGAGTTGAAGTGAGCAATGTACTGCCCATGTTGCTCTTGAAATCAGCCATTAGCTTAGCTCTGCACTGACTCTGGACATTAGCACCAGGGAACAATGGCATGGCTGTCACTACTGGAGGGGAGGACAGTACTCTGCCCCTGGCTTCAGTGAAAGTGAGCCAAGACCTTCTGAAACCTTTATTTTAGAGTAAGGATGTGACACTGAAACTTGTGCAGCAGAGCACTGTATCTGGGTCACAAATTTAGGAAAGCTCTTTGTACTAGATCCATATCTATCATACTGCAATATATCTTATCTGTTTCTTTCAGGATGGTGAGACTCCCCTAGATATAGCAAGAAGACTGCAGTTCCACAGCATTGAAAGTGTGCTAAGGAAAAATTCCTAGTCGTTGAGGACTCCTGAACATGCAGAAAATTACCTCATCTGACAATCCATCTTGCACAGCAGCAGGAGTCCTGCAGAAGGTTGAGAGCTCTTACTTGATAAAGACATGGTCTAAATCCACCCATTCCTTGCTGCAGACTTTGGCTGTTTTGTGTGAGACTTGTCAGTATCCCGCAAGGCTACATATGCTGGAAAGTGTTAATTTGATCTTACTAAGCCCTGAATGATTACAATAGTGTTCAAAATACTGCCCTCCACATCTGCTTTCTCAGTTTTGTTACTTGACTGGTGCAAACAGTGGATTTTGAAAGCTAGCTTTAACGTTTCTGGAAGCCTAACGATGATGGTTGGCAGCCAATGCAAGACTAAAATACCCCTTACAGTGTGTGTTACTTAGTTGGCAGGATATACACTTGACAACTGAACAATATGCCACAGCAGTTCATAGAATCAAGGTTTGGGTTGGAAAGGATCTTAAGATCATCTAGTTCCAACCCCGCTGCCATGGGCAGGGACACCTCGCACTAAACTATGTCGCCCAAGGCTCTGTCCAACCTGGCCTTGAACACTGCCAGAGTTGGAGCATTCACAGCTTCCTTGGGCAACCCATTCCCCTGCCTCACCACCCTCACTGTAAAGAACTTCTTCCTTAGATCTAATCTAAACTTCCCCTGTTTAAGTTTAAACCTATTACCCCTTGTCCTGTCACTACAGTCCCTAATGAGGAGTCCCTCTCCAGCATCCTTATAGGCCCCCTTCAGATACTGGAAGGCTGCTCTGAGGTCTCCACGCAGCCTTCTCTTCTCCAGGCTGAACAGCCCCAACTTTCTCAGCCTGTCTTCATACGGGAGGTGCTCCAGCCCTCTTATCACCCTCGTGGCCCTCCTCTGGACTTGCTCCAGCAGCTCCATGTCCTTTTTATGTTGAGGACACCAGAACTGGACACAATACTCCAAGTGAGGTCTCACGAGAGCAGAGTAGAGGGGCAGGATCACCTCCTTTGGCCTGCTGGTCACGCTTCTTTTGATACAGCCCAGGATACGGTTGGCTTTCTGGGCTGCATACAAAGTTCATGCAAGGTCTGGTACCTTCCCCTTAGTGCTTCTCTTCCTACAATGCAAGTGATTTTTTTTTTTTTTTAATGTAAGAAACAGCAAAAAGAGATTCTGTTCAGCCTGGAGAAGAGAAGACTGTGTGGAGACCTCAGAGCAGCCTTCCAATATCTGAAGGGGGCCTATAAGGATGTTGAGGAGGGACACTCCATTGGGGACTGTAGTGGTAGGACAAGGGGTAATGGCTTCAAACTTAAACAAGGGAAGTTTAGATTAGATCTAAGGAAGAAGTTCTTTACAGTGAGGGTGGTGAGGCAGGGGAATGGGTTGCCCAAGGAAGTGGTAAACGCTCCACCCCTGACAGTGTTCAAGGCCAGGTTGGACAGAGCCTTGGGCAGCATGGTCTAGTGTGAGGCATCCCTGTCCATGGGGTGATCTAGATGATCTCTTAAGGTCCTTTCCAACTCTAACTATTCTATGATTCTATTATTCAATGAATTGCTGTGAAAACCAATTCACAGGTTGGTTTAGTGCATTAAAAAAATAATGAAAATATGTTTGGTGCAGTAGAGAAACAAGTCTCTTGACCACTTTTTCATTATAAACAGTTACTAAAGAGGAAAAAATCAGTAAATGAATTACTGTTGACATATCCTTCCCACAGGACTGGACAGGCTAGCATGCTTCTCAGAATGGTGCATGCAGCAGGGCATGCATGTACCAAAATAATAATCATAGAATCATAGAATAGTTAGGGTTGGAAAGGACTTTAAGATCATTTAGTTCCAACTCCCCTGCCATGGGCAGGGACACCACACACTAAACTATGTCCCCCAAGGCTCTGTCCAGCCTGGCCTTGAACACCGCCAGGGTTGGAGCATTCACGACTTCCTTGGGCAACCTATTCCAGTGCCTCACCACCCTCACTGTGAAGAACTTCTTCCTTATATCTAACCTAAACTTCCCCTGTTTAAGTTTAAAGCCATAAATTCATGAGTCTTCTCTTGCCTAGGTGAAGGCAGAAGAAAAGCTGCAGTGGTAAGCAATGCATTAATGCAGCCTGGCGCTTTGTGATTTAACAACATAGCAATAAAGGGGACTCTCCTTTCAAATGCTGTTGTATCTTGCTTTCCTGGTCTAATAGGTCTTTATTTTTGTTGACAGTTTTTACCATTTCCTGTAAGCAGTCATAAGTTCACAAGATAGGTGTCATGATCAGCACTGCTGATGGCTGCTAGACTGGGTACATGGACCAGTTAGTGTATTTGTCCCGTGCTGCAGAACAGATACATTGTTCAGTGTAAGTATTCTATTGGATGCTGACTCCAAGTACAAAGGGTCTTGGTTGGGCAACAGGAGTTTGAGGCCCCACCCAGAAACACCCCAGGAAACAAAGCTACCCTGTCAGAGTCTGTAGTAGTGAACACTTTGGGTGTAACCTGGGGACAGAAACTCCTACCAACCAGATCAAGTTGTAGGTGAGCAGATGTGAGGCACTTGCATGGGTAATGAAGATGCTATCTCTTTGGGCTAATGGCCAGAAAGGGAAAACAGCTAACTGCTTTCCCACGCTGTAGGAATTTCTTGAACACAAGAGTCAAGACAAAGAGTTATGTGAAAGTTAAAGCTGATAGCTCAGAGAGCTTGCAACAACTTCATTGCTGGTGTCAAGAACAATTCATGGGGTAGAAGCTGTATTGTTTGGAGTGCAGCTTGCCTGGCAAGTCTACATCTCCTTATTCCTCAGCTGCCTCCATGGTCTTTGAAGCTGGGGGTTTAGAGTGCATGAATAAATGTTTGGGTGATGTCTAGGAGAATATTTCTACAAGTTTTTCTGACATTGGAATCCTTGATGTTTGGAAGTCATCTATTGCCTGCTCAGTTTCTTGTGTCTGAAGATCTCTTGACTGTGTTGACACTATAGGTAAATGTGAGGAGGGAAGAAGAAATAAAAAAAACAACCCAAGTTTTCTGTCAATTAGATAAATGATTTAATTTAAACAAAAGTCATTTGTTCTTCAACAGACAAGTGAACAAATCTCACATTTTGGTCTTCATGGGAAAACACAAATTGGGCATGGGAATGGCTCTGTGGGGTACGTGGGATATACATGAGAACAACAGAGTTTAGGCTTAGGAAAATCAGTCTTGCAGTCTTGTAGAAATAAAAGTTGTCCAAATTGAGTGATCCCTGCAGTTTGTGCTCAAATATATTCATATTTTCAGTTTTCATTCCTATACACCTTAAACTTCTCAGGAAGACAGCAGCCACAGTAACACCATGGAAAACCCCAAACTATGAGGAATTCAGGAAACAAGTGCAGGTGAATACTGCCATCCATTATGTGTCTCTGTGTTTACCTCTTCCCCAGGTATCACCCTTATTGCCAAATAGAAATTCTGGAGATTTTTTGCTGAGTAAATCATGTGCATGTGGTTTCAATAGAATTTTGTCATTAGTTCAATGATTTTCTGATACATTTTCTCAGTTACATCAAGGCCCCAAATGAAATCAAGATGACCCCAAGAAGGAAAATGCTCATGATAAAGGAGATTTTTAATCCGAGGGAGCAGCTTTGCTGCATCTTTTGGATCTGCAAATTTGTCCTCTCCAGCAGTCCAGACAGCAATTGGTGTTCTTATTTCCTCTATCTTGTATGCAGGAGGAGTAGACTGTAAGAAAGGGAGGAGACATGGGTGAATGCTGCTATAGCAGAAGTTGTGTTTAGAGAAAAGGTTCTGTGCAAGCACCTTGCACTCACTGCAATAAAACAGTTAAGGATGAAGCCCGCCTTCTTAGTGTCTATTTCCCTAATGCTGTTCCCTGTCTACTGTGAAAAGTAATGATCCATCCTATTCCTGTGTCTTTCCATAAGACATGGCAGAGTGTCTTGCAGTTTAAAGCCTGCTTGTGCCTTCAGAGGTGAAGATATGGAAAGAGCTGTGTCTGTTTATCAGTCAAGAACTGTGGAGCTTATTAATGTGTATATTTAGGGTAGGGAGATCTTTAAGTTTTGTTGGGGCATGGAGTGCAACTGTTGGTCTTAGTTGCTATGCTTTGGATTTAAGTGTCAAGGGAATACTTTGGCCATTTATAATTTCATTCTAGAAAATTTCTGAGCTGCCCAAAACCAAGGCATTTCACCTTTTGCTGTGAGAATCATTTCTTTCCTTAAATGAAAGGCAGACCCTGAGGATTCTGGGGGCAGTGAAGAGCTCCGTCCTTATCCAGTTCTAGGACTTAGCTGTGGCTCTTAGACTTTTGGGAATGGCAGGTAAATTGACATGTTGTTGGACACATGCCTGCATCAGTAGGAGAGGCGAACCACACTTTCTCAGCTGTCTGCAAGGACCTGCCTATGCCTTCTCTGTGAATAGACTTTTATGAGTATTAAATTCAGGTGAAACATTACCTCAGACACTCTCTCCCTCTTTCTGTAGCACTGACAGGTGCTGAAATCTGAATTTTTCTGTTCTTAGATTTTTCAGGGCCTGAGGATAGTTCTCAGGGAAACTATATTGCCTTACCTGGTTGTATCTCTTCATGTTTTCCTTAGAGCCGTAGTCATAGGCTTGCAATTGGCCTGCCAATCTTATCTGTCAAAAGAAGAGATAGAAGTGTTGAGGGACCAAGAAGCAAAGTGCAGGAGGCATTTTCCTGCCTGTGATTGAAGCCAAAGCTTAGACAGTGAACTTCGAATTACTTCCACGCCTTCCTCTGGCTGCAGGCTTTCAGGGACATTGAGGATGGATTGTAGGGTGAGTAGTTTCATCTTTTCCTCTTGCTAACCTTTTCTCCTGATCTTCAGTCACCATCCTTGGTATGTTTCGTTACTAAATTTTCACTTGACTACCTTGGTTAACTAAGGTTGAAGTCCCTGTTTGTGATGCACAGTTGGGTTCAGCTGTCACACAGCAAGAGGACCTGAATGTCTAGAACATTTCAGGTCTGTTACTAGTCTATTACTAGTCTAGCATAATATAAGATCTCTCCTTACACATCTCATCTTTTGTGTGTCAGGTTTGTCTGGTCTGCTCACAGCAGTGGTGACACTTGCAGAGGCTCTGTAGTTACACAAGTTTGGCGATACATGAGTTGTGCTCTGACAGCAGTTTTGAGGTGGAACATTAGACACAGGCGTTAGACTTTCTGATTGCGTTGTCTACAAGTCATGCTATATGCCCTACAGGACTGGAGACTGAAGAGTTAAGTACACATCTTTTGAGGGCTTTTTGTTTGGTTTGGGGTTTTTTTTGGGGGGGGAGGTGTTCAGTCTTTTGGGTTTTTGGGGGTGTATGTGTGTAGTGGGTTTTTTTATCACTTTTTTCACAAAGGCAATTTAATTTGTGAGTGGTTTCATGTAATAAAGGATTGTCTGTCAGTTTAGAAAACCTTGGCTTCAAGGCTTCAACTAGCTGGGAATGTGCTAGAAATCTGCTTGCTGTACTGCCTTTGCTAATTCATTTCTATCCTGATCCTTATTGTCTGATATTACCTGGGGAAATCTCAGTGCCTGATGCCAAAGGGGCAATTCAGGTAATGGTCTGGTGTGCCATGGGAAATGGTGCTCCCTCTGGCAGGTGCTCATGGCAGCAGGTGAGAAGATGTGATGGGCAGTTTCCCAAAACCATCATCTCTGAACTTCCCTGTGGGCTGTTGGTTGCATAAAAGGCAGTAATAAGAGCCTGTTTATAGGTCAGTATGCAGTTATACCTGATGCCAGTGAATAATGTTCTGTGTTGATGTTCCAGCAGGAGAATGTCCTACATATGTATCTATTCGACTCTGGAGAGAAAGCAGAAGTGTTATAAATGCAGTGATCCAGTGCTGTGACAGAATAAAGCTGTGAGGGACCTGAGTAACATACTGCTTCTGTGTTAAACCCCATTTTAATAGGATATGCTTCAAATATCAGACAGAAAACTGAGAAGCAGACTTAGGAGTAGCTGTTTAATTGTATGCACCTGCACACTTTATGAAAACAAGTCTGTTCCCTGAAGACAGGACTGTGGGATCCTGTGGTTCAGCGACAGTGGGGGAAAACCTTTCCAGTCCTTGCAAAGAAGATTCCTCACCTCACACCAAATTCCCATGCGTGTATAAGTCTTTTGAAGCTTTGTTTTTCTCTTCACTTTACTCCTAGTGCTAAAGAAGCCAGCTTACAAAACTGATTGCTTTTTCTTCTGTTTGCATTTTTATAGTTCTGTTAAGGAGATGTTCTAACTTCATCTCCCTGGATTCCTCCTCAGACTTGTTATCTTGCCCTGAGAACCACATTAGTGATTTAACCCAAGTCAGGGAAGATCCTTAATGGGTTAGCTTTGCAATTCAAAGGGGCTGCAATGCCTCTAATTGCTTTTGCATTCAGCCTTTGATTCTCACTGCTTTCCTGTATATGCTTTTACAAGTGGTTATAGATGGAGAAAAATGGGCCTCAGTCTTTACAAATAGGGCAGTAATAAACATTGCACAGGCCAGCTTCTGCATACTTTGGCCACTGTAAGGGGAATTTAAGACTCACTACAGCATCCATATGTTGGCAAGCATAGGGACAACTCTCCTGACTCTCCTGTCCCCTCTGACTGTCTTGCTAATCTCTGTGAATTCCACTGTAGATGTGTTGCACTCTGCAGGCACAGAGGAAGGACGTTCTGTAGCTGTATAGATTTTTTGCAGATTAAGTTGTTGAGCACAGTTCTAAGGACAGGGAAAAAAAAAAAAAAAGAAAAAAACCCAAATGAAAATAAGGAAAATGCCCCTTACAATAGCTCTTTAGGCCCAAGTTCTGGTGCAAGTACTCTGAAAAGTGGGAAGGGAAGAGGATCTTTTTCCTGCTTTTTAATTATTCCAGTATTCAGAGGACCCTGGTGTGAGCATGCTAAAGAAGGAAACTGGGAACTGTATTACCAAGAAGTCTGACTCCATCATCCATTTTCTCTTTTTAAAAAGCATCTGTGTATGACCAAAACATGGTTGGCTTATCCTCAAAAGAGGTCACATCATTGACATGTGCAGTATAGCTCCAGACTGAATTCTATCTTTTCTGGGAGAGGGATTTGCCTAGTGGTTGCTCCCATCCATCATTACCTCTAGTCCTGTTTGGCACAATGTCCTGGCATTCCCTCCATCTGCTGAGGACTATGTTGTGGTTTATATATGTTTACATTCCTGACAGTTGCTAGATAAGGATAGAGTGCACAGATGTAACTTCCGTAACTTCTGAAATCACCTCAGTTTTACTTTGAGTAGGTGGTGTTGCATATACATACCGTGTTCAGGTTTTTTATGTTACCTCCAGCTAGGTAACAGAGTATGTGACCACAAAACTTATCCAGGCTTGTACATAACTGTGTCACAGGTCCTCTCAGAAAACCAATCTGGTGCATGGTTCCTTTGCAGCCAAATAGTAACTGAGGGAAGGAAAAAGCACAGTCACAGCACTATTTTTCTTCCTTGTTACAGGGGTATTTTATGCACGAAACTGTTGCTAACAGCCTAGCCTCCTAACTCAGTACTCAAAGATTGCTAGAGAAGGCTGCCCTCCCAGTACCCTTTACAACACCTTCTTCCCCACAGTGCATCGCGTATCCTTCCTTCTTCCTCTTACTGTCATCAATACTGGAAGAAAGCATCCTCCATTTCTAATGTAATGACCTCAGTGCTCACTATTTCTGAAGTCCCAGAGATTGTATGGCTGTTATAGCAGCTCTGGTTTAGTTCCTCCTGCATGAGGCCAGCAAAATACTAGTTAACAGAAAGAGTCCTGTGACGAGAGAGTTTCACAAGGCCCCTGCTTGACTGTGACCTGCTGCTACAAGCCCTGTATCTCCAGTATGTTCCCTCTAGAGTTTGGGAACAGATTTTTCAAAAGCACTCAATTCATCCCAAGCTCAGCATCAGCATGTCACCTGTTTAGGAGCACTTTGTCTCAGGTTGAGTGAACGCTGTGAAGCTAAGTCAAGCATTGGGCCTCTTAGAGGGAAAAATGACATACCCTGAGCAGTGGTTCAGGAAGACTTGTTATCTTAACCAGAGGGCTTGTAGAATATGAGCATGAGATTACTGGGCCCAGAGCACAGAATATTTTCACACGTTTAGCCAGCTCAGGGTATGTAGAAAATGCTATGAAGCCTGTAAGTGCAGAAGAGACAGCCTGAGTTAGTGAAGACATCTTCCACAGACAAGATAAACAAATAAGCAGTAGGTAGCAAACAAGAAATGAGACTGGATCTGCAGCCCATTGTCTGTTGTCCGTGTTTGTCTGTGCTTCATGTTTTACCTAAGGTGAATGTTGAAGCTAAGTCCTGAAATTAATTTTATTTAGAAAGCAACATTCATTCTGAGTTTTAGAGCATGTCTGGACATTACCTTTATCAGAACAGTTTTTGTAGGCAACATGTCAATGAGGTTTTTGTGACAAAATCAATTCCCCCTAAAGTTCAAAAAACTCTCATAAAAAAGGAGTTTTTCAGATTATAGTCTCTAAAGATCTATATATGTTTATGCTTCCATTAGACTGTAGAATAATCATCTGAATACTGGGAGCTTTGAATCTTTTCAACTGATTGTTTGCATTGAAGGCAGCTGAAGAAAGCCTAGATGGTTACTTTGCTTTGCCATGAGGGTCTTTAAATTCTTTCATGAGAGGAAAAGAAAGGAAAGGCCTGGAACTGTATCAATGTATGATTTTTCCCACATCTCCTTCTTTTTTTTTTTTTTTTTTCTGGGTCATTTACACTAATGAACTGGCAGTTGCTCATTTTCTAGTCAATGTCCATTCATGGATCTTCAACTGTGAACATCAGGAACTCTCAGGTGATTCTAAAAGAAAAGTAGTTGCATTCAGAGGCCATGAAGTGAGTTAATGCTAAAGGCTGGCACTAAGGGAAGATAAGTTATTAATGCTTTTTCCTAATGTTCAGTCTCTGACAATATCATTTTAAACAGTAATGTTGCCAGTTATAACCACTCATAAGCTATGCTTTAAGTTGTAACATTGCCGTTAAGTCATGCGACTTAGTAATGTTGAGGTTCTTTCTTCTTGTCTTCTAATTGAAGTCATGTATTGTATCTGCTGGTTTATCTTTTTAGTTTTCCCACAAGGGAATTAATTGTACATTTTAATACAAAAAATGAACTTGAAAATCCCCATTGCTAAGAATTCAAGAAAAATACTTGAAGTACACATTAAATAACTACTTTCATGTCTCTAATTATTTAAAAGTTGAACTATATTTGGATCTACCATTAGGTTTCTTTGCTTATTAAGGGTAGCTGAAGCCCAGTTTAGAAAATTTTGCATATTTTCCAGATCCCAGCTCAGAAGACACTTCTGTTTGCTAGCTCTCTACAAACAAGAAAAACGACTGAATCAATGGGAGACCCACCTACTGATCAGGTGTAAACATGAGTGGTTGTGAACCATGAGCGTCCTGTCATTACCTGATGTTGTGCCTTCAGAGTGACCAACATAATATACATCCTTCTGTCCAGTTTTATTCATGATGAAGTACAGCTCTGCTGGAATATCATATTTACCCATTTCAGCAAAGCTACAGAGGAGAAACACAGAAAGTTAGCAGGCAATTTAACTATCACAGTGTGAGTTACTGAATGTAAATTTTGTTTATTGCACAAAACAGGGCCCATTGAAAGATATGTTTTCACACTCTGCATTCTTGCTTGAATTGGGGAAGGGGGTAGAGGGGTACAGTGGAACTGCCAGACTGCCTGAGGCCTTGGGCTCTCTACAAAGGAGATGCTAGTTTCACCTGTCAGCTGCAGCCATTGGGGAACTGAATTTAATCAGTGCTTTCACTAGCATGGGTTACAAAACACATTTTTTTCTTGGTGGAATTCAGCTGTGAGAAATCAGAGATTTCTAGACAAAGGCTGCTGAGGTTCTTGTTCTCTCTCACACAGTACTGTCTGCCATTTCCTCAGTACTCCATTTAGTTTCCCAGTCTGAAATCTCCTCCTCAAACAATGCTCTCAACTCTGTGTAGTAGTGAGCACCCTTCTTCATCTGGTTCTTTATATCCTTGGTTGATGTAGACCCTATTCTGGTGTTGGTTTAGGTAAAAACCATCAGGCTGAAACTATCTAGTCCCCTCAGAGTTTTTGTCTGAGTAATTCTCCCTCTACAGAGTACCTGAACTGCCAGAATGCTTTTTGTCTGGGATTAAGGGTCTTGTGTTTTAAAGACCAAGTGTTCCCTCGGCTGTTTCCCAACCAGACGTCATAGCCAGCATCTGCGAGGATGAAGCCCAAGCTGTTGTTGGGCAGGTTAGAAATCCAGTGTGTAGCATCTCCTAGAAAAGCATGCTGTAGGAAGACTACAGGCTTTTGTCCTGGAAAAGAAAAAAAAATTCTTATATTGGAACAGTAGTTAATGTCTATTTAAGATTGGAGTGCAGAGTTTAGCTTGTGAGAGGGCTTAAATCTTTCCTTCTTCAAGAAGTTCCCAGAACTATGCATAGATATTGGTCAGAGAAACCAGAAGGGTTAATTCCACGCAAGCAGGAACCGTTTCATGACATTTCATAACAATTTCATGACAGCACTGGCAAATAAGGAATTCAATGAGGAGGCCTGTCCCCACCTCCTTTTGCACTGGGAAGCAAAGTGACAAGTCCCTATATTGAAACCATCTATCCACATCTGTAAACTGCTGAAGGCATAACAGTGTATGAAAGACAAAGCAACGTATCTACCCTTAGGTGTATTCAATAGTCAGCTGAGCAGGGCTGAGAGGCTCCTGGTCTAACTTTAGTTAACCTTACTCTGACAGTGAGGCTGGCCCAAATGATCTCTGAAGATGAAGATCCAAATAGGAGGAGGCATTCAGAAGAAATTATTCCATAGTTTTAACAAGGAATAATAAACAAAGTAGCAGCATCCAGGATACCTCAAATTCCAGGTGGAAATTCTTATTCCATTCAGAAAATGTGATAAAAGAAATGGAATGCATTTGCTTTTCATTGATGACTTTATCAACTTGTTTAAGAATATCTCTGTCCTTCAGAAGGCTGGGAACTAATATTCATATGCCCAAGCTGAGAGGCTTCGTTGTCAGGCTTCTATTTTAAATGTGTGTTACTTAGGGTGCTAATGCAAAACCTTGCAAAATCCAGTTTATCACACCCTCCCCCAGCCCACATGAAAGAAAAATACTGTCATACAGCAAAATTGTTAAAAAAGTCTCAAATAAGAACAGAGACTCTGAATGTGTGGACTTCAGATGGATTCAGAATTCAGGTCAGCTTTCTGACCAGGTGCCCTTGCTGAGACTGAAAGGTGTAGAACATGTCATGGCATGTGCAAAGGGGAAAGATGGGGGACCCATGGAAGAGTTGAGTCTCAGGCTTTCCTTACATCCTATGACTGTGTCATACCTGTACTTTGGCTGTTCCTCCCAGCAG